CATGTCTAACCTACAAGTGCTTGCTAGTAGGAACAGCCAAAGAATAACTCAGATGGTTTAACTCTTGCAGACCTGTTTGGCTGGTTTGTGTTTAAGGTCGTTTATTCATTTCTGTTTTTGCTGCAACATTAATCCTGCTGTGGTCTTTAGAGGAAAGCTCACAAGCATTACCCTAGATTCTAGGGTTCTAGGTTCTAGAGCCTAGGTTCTATAATCTAGGTTCTAGATTCACTGAAGAGGGTGAAGCATGGTATGTAATGCTGGTCACCACTGTCAGGTTCAGTGTAGATTATCTGTTAAGTACAGTGAGGATTTGGCCAATCAAGTTACTACTACTACACTGTCTGCCTACTTGGTAGATATTCAGGCAACAGCTTCACCCTCTCTCACTGAATTCCTTCCATGACTCCTCATTCTTTTGGGGTAAAATTCAAACTCATTTTAGAGAGCCTTTTTTTATGTTCTTGAGCTCAACTGCTGAGGGATTCTACAGAATTCAAATCCTTCCTCCTTCAGGCATTAGATGCCCTGGCAGGGACTCTGGCTGAAAAACAAAAAGTTGTTATAAATTCATATTTTATTGCCCCCTCTTTTTACATTTGGTAATCTCCAGTATTAAATGGCTGTTTTCATTTTTTACCTAGCTGGATGGGCAAGGTGGTAGGCTGTATGTCACATGAATTTTTTTTTTCATTTTGCTTTTCTTTTTTTTTTTTCATTTATTTTTATTAGTTGGAGGCTAATTACAGAACAACATTGCAGTGGGTTTTGTCATACATTGACATGAATCAGCCATGGATTTACATGTATTCCCCATCCCGATTCCCCCTCCCACCTCCTTCTCCACCCATTCCCTCTGGGTCTTCCCAGTGCACCAGGCCCGAGCACTTGTCTCATGCATCCCACCTGGGCTGGTGATCTGTTTCACTATAGATAATATACATGCTGTTCTCTCGAAACATCCCACCCTCACCTTCTCCCACAGAGTCCAAAAGTCTATTCTGTACATCTGTGTCTCTTTTTCTGTTTTGCATATAAGGTTATCATTACCATATTTCTAAATTCCATATATATGTGTTAGTATGCTATAATGATCTTTATCTTTCTGGCTTACTTCACTCTGTATAATGGGCTCCAGTTTCATCCATCTCATTAGAACTGATTCAAATGAATTCTTTTTAATGGCTGAGTAATATTCCAT